AGTGGGAGAACTTGCACAATTGGTGGCTGACTAAATACTTTTTTGCCCCACTGTATTCTTGTAGCTTAAGTCTCTCATTATCCGTAGGTTCTGCTTACAAGTACTAGAAATGTTACGTATTGGGAATTTGAGAACCACCATTTTAAAAACTAAACACATTATGCAAAACAGCAGAGCTTGACCACACACTTTCAACTGGACCATACAACTTTTCCCAGGATCAAACATGGTTTAACATTGAGCACGAACTGGCCCATCAGATTCAAATAACAATTTTCTCCCTGAGAGTTTTTTGTTTAGAGAATGCATATAAAAGCTCCTGATATATAAATTATAACAGTCTGTTCATAGAAGAAAAGCAGATATGACTTAAAATTCTGTGTATTTTTAGATAATGAAATCAAAGTCCATTCTCAAAGTCATTTGCATTACAGTATTTCCTCATTTTGACCCATCCTTTCCTGTCACAGAAATTATGTGGATTGCAAAATATAATAGGGGAACTTTTATTTCATCAGCAAAAAAAATGTCTGTTTAGTTACAGGTTTGTTCTCTTCTTTTTATTTTACATCCATCTATATTGACCCTTCACATAATAGCATATAAGTCATTAGAGCCAGTCCCAGTTGATAATCCTTTGAAATTTATTTTTTATTTTTTACAATGTGTTTTATTGCTATATTCTCACAAGATTAAAATATTGGGCCCAACACTAAATATTTTAATCATGGTTTATTTAATATGACCAAACAGCTGGGTTTGTTTAATGTTAAACCATGAACCATTGTTCATAAACCATAGTGGCTAGGATTACCCAGAACACTAAACCCAAAATGAACAATTCATTTACTAGTAGCATGTGTGAACGCAGCCATGGAAACATTGCCTGATTCAAACATTTTTAAACTTTGCTTTTTAGCTTGGGGTTGTCTTTTGTCTGTTTTTAAATTAAGGATTGTTTTGTTCATTGTGTATGCATAAAACAAATTAATAAAAAAAAAACAGCACAAACTTGCAAGATTCTGTTATTATAGCCTCTCTTAATAAAAGTACAGGTTGTCCTCACTTAGCTACCATTCATTCAGCGACCGTTCAAAGTTACGATGATACTGAACAAGGAGACTTACAGCCAGTCCTCAAAGTTGTGGCTGTTGCAGTGTCCCCGTGGTCACAATATGGGCACTTGGCAATTGGCACACATTTACAATGGTCGCAGTGTCCCATGGTCACATAATCACCATTTGCAACTTTCACTGCCAGCTTCTGACAACCAAAGTCAATAGGGAAGCTGGCAAGAAGTTGCAAGTCAGAGTCATGTGACATTGCACTTAATGTCGTGATTCACTTAACAACTGCAACCAGAACTGCCATCATTATATGCGGTCACATGATTTTTCATTTTACCACCATGCTCCCAGTCCCAATTACATCCGTTAACTGAGGACTACTTGTGGTTTTAGACTTCCTGCAAGCTTGATTCTTGGTCTGGTCTACCTGGTGGAGCTGATACCCACCCACACAGTGCACTAACTCAGTATTAACTGAACCATGGTTTATCAAATTGATCCACAAAATAGGGCTGGGATATTGACCAGGATTACTATTCTTGAACAAACTGGGGCTATGCTATCCTTGGTGGTGCTAGACAATCAAGCTTTCCTTGTATTTAATAGAAGCAATGTAGGCCTGTTGTATTGAAGCACTCTTCGCATACATTCAAAAGAGAAAACTTCCTTAAAACATTAGGACTTACTAGAAAAAATAAGGATATTCAAGCCTCATAACTGTAATTTAAAATAATGTTACAGCTGAGGGGGTGGTTCTGCGGTTTGGTTTTTAGGAGTGAACATGAGATCAAGTCTCTAATTTGGAAATAAGACTAAATGTTTGAGAACACTGGTGCTTGCAGTTTCATCATTTTTAAAAAATCAATTTTCTTTCAAATGCCAAATATGTACCAAATATGCAGAATGGCTGGAATCCCCAACGTAAATTAATCCCCAGCACTTCTACATATACAGGCAGTGTTTTTTTGACACACTAACCAATGGCTTATTTAACCTTGTTTTTCTAAATTAGACCCATTTTCTGGGGGTTGTACACAAGGTCCACTATGTTGAGCTCACAGACTCTTGAGCAGCCTTCCCAAACACAGATGTGCTCCAAATGTGTTGGATTTCAATTCCCATAATCCTCCACTAGCACGCTCCAGAATTACGAAGCTACCAGGATTGTGCTGAGAAACGCAACAAGCTCCGAATTGGCTCCGGGGGCATCCACAGAGGGGAGGGGAGGTCAAGAAAGTCAAGATGGAGGCTTTGAGGCACAATGGAAGCCCTGTCCCTTTGGTATGAAGGACATCCATAAAGCAGACGACGCTTCGACTGCAGAATCACGGTCACCGTTTTGATATTTTTGTCCCCCCCCCCAAGAAAACCCTGCCATTCTAACCACAAGAATGCGTGACTTGTTTGGGACTTACGGTAACATGAGGCCTAAGAACTGTAAATTAAAGCACGGCTAAGAAAACCGGGCTGAGCGTATTACTCAACCCACACGTGAGAGGCTGGACCTAAATGGATACCCGCAGACTCTCCTAGCGCCTCGGCCCGCTCTCCTCTTCCCGCGCCCAAACCCTCCTGCTCTTTCCACAGGGGCGGCGCGAACGGTAAAAGCAGCCTCGCTTTCTCGGAGCGGCCTTTCAGCTAGTCCGAGAGACGCGTCTGCTTCTCCGGCCCAGCTTTCCCGGGCAGGACAAAGCTCCGCAGCGGGGCCAGATCGCAAAG